GCACGGGCGGGACGGGTGGGAACCACCGCCCCCGCCCCAGGGGCCGCAGTGTGCAGGGCCCCACCAAAGAAGCTGCAGAGGCCGCGAGCGGCGCAGCGCGTGTTTTGCGCGCGTGTGCGCTCGCGCACCCGCGTATGCGATGAGCTTGGTGCGGCTGTTGAGGTCCCACTCCCTCCAGGGGGCGATGACCTTGATGTCGGGCTTGAGGGCGTAGTAGCCCACCTCGAAACGCACCTGTCAGATCACATCACGCGCGGGGCCGGATCGGGATCCAGGTGGCAGGTGGCGGGCGTCGGCGACTGTTTATTTTGCTGCGCAGGGCCAGGCAGAGCGCGCGGCCCCGCCGCGGCTGGAGCGGTCGGCTGCCGCGCGCCGCGCGGGCGGCGACTGCAGGCATCCCGGGGCCGGCGCGCCGCTCCCTCTGCGCAGACGCGCCGCGGGGCGCGTTTTCGTCCCTTGCTCCTTCGAAACGCGCTGGACCAGTCGGTGCGTCATTGGACCCCTCATATGGCAGGATTGCGCTGCGATTGATCTGCGTGATTCTTGCCCGCAACAGTCCGGCTGGCACCCACCTGGTCGTTGCCCTTGCCAGTGGCGCCGTGGCAGACGGCGTCCGCGCCAACCTGGGGGCCGGAGCAAGGCGCATCCGCATTGCCGTGATGAAACCATGCAGGCGGAGTGGCTGGTGAGGAGCGAAACGATGGAGGGACGCTCCATGCATGGGCGCCTTAGCACTGCTCGCGGCTGCGGACGCGGCACCATTTCTGGGCCGAGCCCTGGCATGCCCGCACGGAGCCGCGCCGCCGCGCGCCCGACCCCCGGCCAGAGGGTCCCTCGCCCCGGCTGCCGCCGCCGCCGCCGCCCCCGGCTCCAGGCGCCCGCCCGCGGCCGCGATGCTGAAGCAGCCATGGGTCCGGCTGGAACCCGTCCCGCATGGGCGCGGCCGGGGCCGCTCAAACAGGCGGCGCGCATGCGTCCAGCCCCGCGGCCGCCCGCCTTCCAGCCCCCGGCTCCTTGCGGCCCCAGCGCTTGCCTCTCCCCCGTCGAGCATCCGGGTTGCCCCCTCACCTCCTTTGCGATCTCGATCTGGCGCTTGGCGATGAGGGGCCTCGCGATAGACGTGCCCAGCAGGTAGATGCCCTTTGGGATTCCATAAAAACGCGGTTGGGGTTGGGCGAGTGGGGGGTGGCGGTGAGGGGCGGATGCGGCAACGGGGGTCTGCGCATGATGACATCACCAGGCGCGCGTGAGTCGCGTCAGGGTGCGCGCTTGGAGGCCGCTCAATCCGGCCTCGCCCGCCGCGCGCGGCGTGCGCGCCGCCCCCTTGACCCAGCCGCTCCCGACACCGGGAGGCACCCGTGTCAAAACGCGAGGCCCCGCCAGCACCCGGGGCCACCCCACTCCTCTGTACAAGAGCATGCAGCCGCGCGCGAGCGCGCTAACCTCGTACTGTGCGTTGGCGCGGAACATCGGGAACACATAGTCCTTTACAAACTCCTCCCGCAGGTCGTCGATGAAGATGGACTTGACGCCCATCTGCTCCGCCTTCGCCCGCGCGGGCTCCAGCTCCTCGCCCTGGCGTGTGGGTGACAGGAGAGGAGGCCGCCGCGGTGAGGGCTGCGGCGCTGGCGCCCCAGGAGCCGACGCGTGGCGCTTGAGCCGGCCCCCTGCACGCGGCCGGCAGCTGCGCGGCAGCTGCTGGCTTTGAGGGCGCGTGCCCGCCGCCGCCGCTGCTGCTCGCGTACCTGAGGCTGGTGCTCCGAGCCGATCTCCGTGCCAAGGAGTGTGAGGGTGCGTGCACGCGTGTATGCATTTGAGGCAAGACCTCCCCTCCCACATTAGATGCTGCAGCTGACGCTGGGCTTGACCCACATGGCTCATGACACACGGCAGGCGGTGGGGGTTGCACGGCCACCCGACCCCGCAGCTGCCGCGTACCTGCCCAAGGTCGGCAGTGAAGGTGACCACCTCGCAGTTGTACTCATCCTGCAGCCACTTGAGGATAACCGAGGTGTCCAGGCCACCAGAGTAGGCGAGGACCACCTTCTTGACCTTGATCTTGCCGCCCGGCGCAGACTGGGCACGCACGCGCAGCGAACGGGCGGCAGCGCGCGAAACGACGGGACGAGGCAGGCCGGCAGGAGCACGGCTCAGGGCCGAGCCTGCAAAGGCGGAAGACTTGGCACCTGCGTTGCAGGCGTGTTCGCATTTTTGCGGCGTCTATGGCGGGGCAGGGAGTGGTACACAATGCCGCATTTGTACATTGTGTTATGCCCCTGCAAAGCAGCTGTACGTGCATGGCAGCCGCCCACGGCGTGATCTGCAAACCCTCCTGCTACCTGCGAGCGCCATGATGAATAAATACGCGTTACAAAGCCCTCTGTAAACGACGAAATGCGGATATGCATCGATTGAAGCAGCTTTGCATCACGTGCGCGTTTCGCTTCGCTTGTTCACGGGGTCACTGCGCAGTGGAAATGTGGACAACACTGCATGGCGGCCAAGGATCGCTTTCCAGCAATACAACATTCATATGAACGGATCTCACACAACGAACGATATGCTCATTCCCATGCTTGCTGCGCGCTCCGCTGCCTCGAGCGGTTGGGCAAGGGCAAGCACCTGAGTTGCTTTCGGCGGCGCGCAAAATGAATGCGGATTGGCAGCAGATGATGGAGGATCCAATAATGACCGAGATCAGTACCCGGCCAGTGTGTGCGCTCTTTTCTGCTTGTGCAGCAAGTTCGAAAAAATCTGTTCAACATTGGGCTGCCGCTGCAGGGCAGCAGGTGGATTGGCCGCAGCATGGGACCTCGTGAATGCATGGGGACTACCCCATGCCGTCGGACAGCAAATTACCTCGTTGCACAGCTGGGAGAGCATAAATGTGTGTGGTAGACGAAGCTGCTGTCAGGCTGTGTGTCCCACCTCTACCCTGCAGCTGATACCAACTGCACAGATGCGGTGCGCATGTTCATGTGAGGCGGAAACCAGCTCTTGGTGTTTGTCGGAGTCGCTGAATCACACAGGGCTGCATCACACAGGGCATTCTCTTCCATCACCAAGCTTGCGTGAGGATGATTACAGCTGGCCGGCCGGCTGGATTGGTCAAGAGCATCCAGGAATTCAAGCAAGGGCGCAGCCGCAACCAGCCAAACAAGGTCTAAGCTGAAGTGCCCCCACAACCCATGAAGCATGTGACATGCTTCTTGACTACAGGACGGTTTGAAGCGGCTGCCAAGAACCCTAGAGGCGACAGCCCTGGGCTGATGCAAGCGAGGGGACGAGGGCGGTCATCAGAGCGGTTGCCAGTCAGCGAGTCCCTTCACACCAGAAGCGCCCGTGCATGAACAAAACCCGGGCGCGGCTGCAAGCTGTGACGCTCTAACGCTCCTGCTGGTGACTCCCGCCACGCGGCGTGCATTTGTTGGCTGGATCATCCCAAACTTCCAGTGCGTGAGCCGAGCTTCACTAAAAGGAGTAAATGGTTGCAGCACCAACAGCTGTCAGCCCAGCCGTTGCCTGCGCAGTGCAGTTACCTCACCACAACAGTCACAAAACATCAAGCGTGGGTTGCAACATGATGCACAAAGGTGTGTTCTCACGCCAACCAAGCAGATCACGTCAGGCAGCAACAAAGCAGCATCACACTCCAGCAATCACAATCACAACCTGGAAACCGTCGCCTGCTTCACCCTGCTGACGGCACAACGTTTCACCCCCTCTCACCCCCAACCCATCAGCCCAGCTCTCCACCCACCTTGACCTTGATGTGCATGCGCTTAGTCAGGCGGCCAGCAGGGTGTTTGAGAGACGCGGAGGGGCGCAGTGATGGTTGTTATCGGTGAACAAGAGTGCCAGTGCTTAAGTGCTGTCTGGCCTGCTGGCTGATGTCCTCTGAGCATCGCCAACACTATGCACCATCCAACCCCCCTTTAACCCACACATGCCCGTTCACCCCAACCCATCAGCCCACGCCCCCACCCACCTTGACCTTGATGTG